ACAGCGCCCAGGCCCAGAGTTCAGGCCCCATGGCCGGACCCAAAAAACAAACAAACAAACAAAAAGAGTCTTATGGACTTTCCTGCCCAGGCTGGCTTTGAATGGTGATCTTCAGATCTCAGCCTCCTGAGTAGTTATTATTACAGACGTGAGCCACCGGCACCTGGCTATTTTTTCCTTAACTCAGGGCTTGAGCACTGTCCCTGAGCTTTTTTTGCTGAAGGGACACTTGAACTACAGTGCCACTTCTGGCCTTTTTCTGTTTATGTGGTACTGAGTAATTGAACTCAGGGATTCATGTATGCTAGGCAAGCACTCTACCACTACGCCACATTCCCAGCCAGCCCTAAACTCTTTTTTTGACATAAATAACTGAGGTTAATCCATAGTTTGGGCTTTCAAACTCCAGTAAGTTTTAGCCACTGCTCCTTTGAGCTGAGCAGAGTCAAATAGGAAGGGTGAAACCAAGTCTCTCCCTGAGAGAAGCTATACTCACTTCCTAGTTCTTGATGTCAGACATTCCGATTGCACTGAAACCACTAGGTTATTTTGGGAGCCACTTTTAATGGGTACTTGCCCTTCATTTAAAGGAAAAGATGCCACAGTTCAATGGAAGATGATGTGATTTCAGTCACTGGCTAAGGATGTGGTTTAACCAGACAGGATGTCAGACTTGGCACTTTTTTTTGGAGAGGAGTTGGGGAATTTTACCTTGGTTCCTTTTTACCCTTGGGTGGCACAATGAAAGAAAATATACTTTGGTTGGACCAGCTTCCTAAAGAGCAACTGTGAAGAAGGAAGTCTTGACTTCCTTTGGAATTACAATCCAGAATCCCAGATATTCTTTTTTTTTATTATCTTTTTTTTTTTGGTCGGTCATGGGGCTTGAACTCTGGGCCTGAGCACTGTCTTTCAGCTCTTCAGCTCAAGGCTAGCACTCTACCACTTGAGCTACAACGCCACTTCCAAGAATCCTAGATATTCTTACCCTCAAATCTGGTCTCAGGCTGGCTTAGTGGTAGAGTGCTTGCCTAGTACACATGAAGCCCTGGGTTTGATTCCTCAGTACTATATTAACAGAAAAAGTTGGAATTGGTTCTGTGGCTCAAGTAGTAGAGTGCTAGCCTTGAGTAAAAGAAGCTCAGGCCCTGAGTTCAAGCCCTAGAACATGCAAAAAGAAAGAAAAGAAAAGACAAACAACTCAGATCTGGTCTGAGATGGAACAAACTTCCAATCTTTCATTCAACCACTTGTCACCATGGACTTTCTTTTCCCTCTTCCTCCTCCTTCTCTTTTTTTATTTTTCTTCCTCTTCTTCTTCTTCTCCTCCTCCTCCTCCTCCTCCTCTTCCTCCTCCTCCCCCTCCTCCCCTTCCCCTTCCTCCTCCCCCTCCTCCCCTTTCTCCTCTCCTTCCTTCTCCCTCTCCTCCTCCAAAGAATGTTCCAGAATCATTCTTTTCCTGCCAAATGCTTTTTAAAACTACAAACAGGAAGCTGCCAGCAGTCACACCATGTAAGCAGCTGTGTTCTAGGAACCTTGATAAAAGCACTTGTGATGTACAAGGGCAGAGGCATCAGACATTGACACCATCAAGCTTTTTTATAACTTACTCTTACTCAAAGACAGATCACCTAATAGGGAGCTGAGAATTTGACTGAAGTTTCATTTCTGATAATGAACTATGCATGACACACAGTCCTGGATTTGTGTACCTGGAAAGATATTATAAACTCTGATTATTGATCCACTCATGTTTTTCTCCAGTCCAGAGCCTTTCTTGTTAGGCAAGTTTTCTACCAACTTGAGCCATGACTCCCAGCACTGATTTGTAGTTGTATCTATTTATTTCTATTTATTTTGTGCTGGTACTGTAGCCTGAATTTAGGGCCTGGACACTGTCTCTAAATTTTTTTTTGTCGGTAATAGGGCTTGAACTCTGGGCTTGGGCGCTTTCTCTGCCCTCTTCAGCTCAAGGCGAGCACTCTACCACTTGAGCCACAGCATCACTTCCAGTTTTCTATTGGTTTATTGGAGATAAAAGTCTCACGGACTTTCCTGCTCAGGTTGGCTTTGAACAGTGATTCTCAGATCTCAGCCTCCTGAGTAGCTAGGATTACAGGTGTGAGCCACCAATGCCCTAAACTTTTTCACTCAAAGTTAGTCCTCAGCTGGCACCAGTGGCTCACACCTGTAATCCTAGCTATTCAGGAGGCTAAGATCTGAGAATCACTGTTCACAGCCAGCCCTGGCAGGAAAATCCATGAGACTCTTACCTCCAATTAACCACCAGTGTTCTACTACTTGAGCAACTTGGCTTTTTCTGCTTATGTGGTGCTGAGGAATCAAACCCAAGGCCTCATGCACACAAGGCAAGCACTCTACCACTGAGACACCTTCCCAGCCTCTTCTCCAATCTTTGTCCATAAAATGTACGTATGTCAGCCGGGTACCAGTGGCTCACACCGGTAATCCTAGCTACTCAGGAGGCTGAGATCTGAGGATTGCAGTTCAGAGCCAACCTGGGCAGGAAAGTCCATGAGAGTCTTATCTCCAGTAAACCACTGGAAGTGGGGGAGTGGCTCAAGAGGTAGAGTGCTAGCCTTGAGCTGAAGAGCTCAGGGACAGCATCAATACCCAAGTTCAAGCCCCATGACTGACAAACAACAACAACAACCAAAAAAAACTGACTGGGAACATGGCTTAAGTGGTAGAGTGCTTGCCTAGTAAGTAAGAGGCTCTGAGTCAACCCCCAGTATGGGGGAAAAATTGTCTCAGTGATGAAAAGACTGAGTAATAAAAGGTGATACTTGAAAGCACCTATCCCAGAAGACCACACGGACACAGTCCCGTACGGGAAAAGGAGTTTATTGCCAGCCAACACTGCAAGGCCACCTCCCCAATGAGAATTGTAGAAATGGCTCCTGTGTGTCTCCTTTTCTTGTGTCTGTGTGGTCTTCTGGGATGGGTAGCTTCAATACTGTAGTTTAAGGAGTTGTAGGGAAGATTTCCAAGGTGTAAAATAGTCTGTGGTATAAAATAGTCTTTTGCTGCAAATTGCTTATATGCATGCATGTGTGTGTGTGTGTATGTGTGTGTACGCGTGCGTGAGCGCCAGTCTTGCAGCTTGTGTGAGAACCTAGTTTTGTTGACTCCCACTTTCAGTTCTGAATTTCTAGCCTCCAGCTGAGCTGGCGGAATGCTGGCCGCCTGGTCTTAACCATCTTTGATAACCAGCCACTGTAGTGCACTCCTGCCACTAATGGTTACAGGTCTTGATGTCTAGCATCAAGACATTATTGTGAAACTATCACCTGTGTGTAGTTTTCTTTGCTTTTATAAACCCTGCCCTATTGAAGGCTGAGAATGCTCTTAGTTCTGAGGTAGCACAGGACAAAGCAGTCTCTAGCAGGCTAATAAAACTCCTTCATGTAGGGCTGGGAATGTGGCTTAGTGGTAGAGTGCTTGCCTAGCATGCATGAAGCACTGGGTTCAATTCCTCAGTACCACATAAACAGAAAAAGTCAGAAGTGGTGCTGTGGCTAAAGTGGTAGAGTATTAACCTTGAGTAAAAGAAGCTTAGGGACAGTGCCCAGACCCTGAGTTCAAGACCCAGGACTGCCAAAAAGAAAAAAAGAAAAAGAAAAACCAAAATATTCTTTTGTCACCTTTAACCATTCTTCTGTGGATTTTCTTGACTCTGAGGTCATTTCACTTTAACTCAGAGCCTGGTCACTATCCCTGAGCGTTTGTGCTCATGGATAGCACTGTACCACTTGAGCCACAGCTACACATCTGGCATTTCTTTTTTCTTCTGTCAGTCGTGGGGCTTGAACTCTGGGCCTGAGCCCTGTCTCTGAGCTCTTCAGCTCAAGGCTAGTGCTCTACCACTTGAGCCACAGAGCCACTTCCAGTTTTCTGGTGATTAATTGGAGATAAGAGTTTCACAGCCTTTCCTGCCCAGGCTGGCTTTGAACCGCCATCCAAAGAGCTCAGCCTCCAAAGTAGCTAGGATTATAGGCGTAAGCCACTGGCGCCCAGCTTGGCATTTATTTATTTATTTTTTTGGTGGGGGCAGGGATGATTAACTGGAGGTAAAGAGTCTTAAGGAGTTTCCTGTCCAGGCTGGCTTTGAACTTGACCCTCAGATCTGAGCCTCTGGAGTAGTGTACCTAAGGTTACAGGTGGGAACCACTGGCACCCAGCTTTATATGCATTATTGTAAAAGCACTGTTCTTACATTCTTCCTCTGTGTGTGTGTGATTGCTTTTGTTTTTTGGTGCTGGTCTTGGGGCTTGAACTCAGGGCCTGGAACTGGCTCACTCTACACTTGAACCACAGTGACACTCCTCTATATAGTTTTTTTGTCGGTCGTGGGGCTTGAACTCTGGGCCTGGGCTCTGTCCCTCAGCTCTTCAACTCAAGGCAAGCGCTCTACCACTTGAGCTACAGCGCCACAAGCCACAGTGACACTCCTGTTTTTTTAATTGAAGATGAGAGTCTCATGGACTCTGCTGCCCACACAAGCTTCAAACTGATTTCCTTAGATCTTAGCCTCCTGAATATCTAGGATTACAGGCGTGAATCAGCAATGCCTGGCTTGTGTGTCCAGTTCGAACCCTCTTTTTAGCATGTCTTTTCTCAGTTGTTATTCAATAATACATTCAACAAGGCATTGTTATTAAATCTGAAACAGTAGTTTTTCAGCAATATTCTTTTTCACTTATATCTTTTTTACACCACCTGCCACTCCGTTTCCGAAGAAACGCAGACTTAGGCGTAAAGTTTAAAGCGCCTGAAAAAGCAACAACCTGAATTTAACAAGAACAGAGATTATGAGCTTTGAGAAAGCCAGGCGGAAGCAATGCGCTGGGCCCGGGAGGGCGTGTCCCTGCGTGGAAAAGAAGGCGTGTCCAGAAGACCACGCCCACCCTCGATTTGGCGCCAAACGCCGAGGGCTTTCAGCGATTGGCGTTCGGATCTCGCGAGATTTCTGATCTGTTCGCCACGCCAAGTCCCGCGCGCGGAGGCGGTGTGTGGTTCGCCAGAGGTGAGCGTGGGAATGGCTTCGGAGTGGAGTGGTTGTTCTTGGCGGCGGCCCGAGATCTAGGGAGCTGGGGTGTTCCAGGAAGCGGGTGAGGAGGTTGAGACGAGGCTTCGACGTTCACCTGGCCTGAGAGTGATGGGAGAGAGGCGGCCCTGGCGGCCTGGGTCGGTGGGCCTATGGGGTTGTGGGTCCGGCGGGCACCTTCGCCTCTGGTATTAAAGGTTCCGGCCGGGTGTTGCTACCCGAGCCTTTAACTGGAAGGAGCATGCTGCCATCTGTGGTCCAGCTGCTAAACCTTGTGCAATGAATGTGGTTGGCTTCTGTGAGGGGGAGCAGCTGGGAGAAGAGGGGTGGGGCAGGCTGTCCATTGCTTTGAGGGGCTTCTGTTTTGACAACTCTTAGGGAAAACAGAAAAGAATGATTCCCTTTACTCCTCTGCGAGTTTAGAGCCGAGGAGGAAATTAAGGCGATTGCATTAGTGTCTTAAAAATTTTTAGAGACACTGTTAGGTGAATTTTGTCCAGGAGTGAAGAACCCTGTATGAAATATCTGATTCCATAGATATAATAAGTGAAATCGGTTTTCTGTTAAGCCACAGCCCATGCTTGACCACTTCCTCGCTGCATTTTATTTACTTAATTATCTTTCAGGGTTTGAACTCAGGGCCTGAGTAATGTCCTGAGCTTTTGTATTAGAGGCTAGCATTCTACCACTTGAGCCACAGTGCCACTTCCAGCCTTTTGTTGTTTAATGTGGTGTAGAGAAATCCAACTAAGGGCTTTTTGCATGCTAGGCAAGCACTCTACCACTAAGCCACATTCCCAGCCCCACTTGCAATCTTTTTTTGGTAGTTAATTGGAGATAAGAGTCTCTAGAACTTTCCTTCCTGGGCTGGCTTTGAACCGAGACCCCCAGATCTCAGTCTTTTAAGCAGCTAGGATTACAGATGTTGAGCCTTCAGTACCAGGCTCCTTGCTACATTTAATATAGGTTGTGTTCTGTCATGAAATTCCAAACTCTTGTCAGCCTCAAATTTATATGATTCCACTAGGGATAATTTAACTTTAAATCCTAACTTAGTATGATTTATTTTTTATTTTTATTTTTTTGGGTCCGGTCCTGGGGCCTGAACTCTGGGCCTGGGCACTGTCCCTCAGCTCTTCAGCTCAAGGCTAGCGCTCTACCACTTGAGCCACAGCGCCACTTCCGGCTTTTTTCTTTTTGCTTATGTGGTGCTGAGGAAACAAACCCAGGGCCTCGAGCATGCAAGGCAAGCACTCTACCACTGAGCCACCTTCCCAGCCCCAGTATGATTGAATTACAGCAAGATTAAAGATACTCCATGTTCGTTTTGTTGGATATTGTTGGGAATTGAACCCAGGCCAGGTTCTGCTACACACTAGGTAAGTGCTCTACCTCTTGAGCCTCAGCCCTATGTATACATCTGTTAGCTAGGAACTTATTTATATTGCATGATATTGCTTCCCACTTTTGAATTTTTTTTTTTTTTTGGTTGGCCTGGGCACTGTCCCTGAGCTCTTCAGCTCAAGGTTAGCACTCTACCACTTGAGCCATAGCGCCACTTTTGGTTTTCTAGTGGTTTATTGGAGATGAGTCTCATGGACTTTCCTGCCTGGGCTGGCTTTGAACTGTGATCCTCAGATCTCAGCCTCCTGAGTAGCTAGGATTATAGACATGAGCCACCGGCACCCTGCTCAGTTTTGAAAATTTGTAGTTCTTACAAAGATACAGTGTGTCAGCCAGGCTGCTCACACCTGCTCACAGAGAATTTTTTTTTTAGGTCATGGGCTTGAACTCTGGGCCTGGGCACTATCCCTGAGCTTTTCAGCTCAAGGTGAGTGCTCTACCTCTTGAGCCACAGCTCCATTTCCAGTTTTCTGATGGCTAATTAGAAATAGTCTCACAGACTTTCCTGCCTGGGCTGGCTTTGAACTGCGGTCCTCAGATCTTAGCCTCCTGAGTAGCTAGGATTACAGATGTGAGCCACCAGCACCCTACTGGTCATAGGAATTTTAGAGTTTTAAGTAGTTCCAATAGTTTTAGTTTTGGATTCATTATTTATTTAGATACAAGGTCTCTGTTGTCCTGGCTAGCCTCAGATTCCTCAGTTTAAGGGATTTTTTTTTTTTTTTGTCAGTTGTGGGGCCTGAACTCTGGCCTGGGCGCTGTCCCTCAGCTCCAGCTTAAGGCTAATGCTCTACACTTGAGCCACAGCACCACCCCCGGCTTTTTTTGCTTATGTGGTGCTGAGGAATTGAGCCCAGGGCCTCAAGCATTCAAGGCAAGCGCTCTACCACTGAGCCACCTTCCCAGCCCTCAAGGAATCTTTTTGTCTCAGCCTCCTGAGTGCTGACACCATGCCACCATTATTCCTGGCCTTGAATTCTTTCTCAGAATTCCTTCAGCCAACAAATATATGCCACACACCTCTTTGGTGTGCATTATGTACAGTGGTGGAGCACAAAGAGATCTACCTGGTCTTTGCCCATTTAGACCATCAATCCAATATGGGTGACAAACATTAAATGACTACACAAAATCTTTTTTTTTTTTTTTTTAATTTTTTTTTTGGGTCTGGTCGTGGGGCCTGAACTCTGGGCCTGAGCGCTGTCCCTCAGCTCTTCAGTTCAAGGCTAGTGCTCTACCACTT